CACACCTACCGTCATCTTATGATGTGCCCAAAGTAATGAGCCAAAGACAGTAATGCATCCCATACATTACATTACGTAATGATAATATTCGTCAAAAGCGTTCAGCAAACTAAGGCAGTTCTAATTCAAATTTGGGGGATCTGTTGCCACCAAATAACAGCAATATCACCCAAACACATTTTTGCGTGTAACTGGGGGCGCGCAGGTAGCTCTGGCTCAGCTAAGGCCACAAGTGAAGCGGGGAAGGGATGGGACAGTGGGGCAGCTCAGCAAATCCAGCTATTTGCAAAAATGTTCTGGTATGAGTTTCTGCTTCCGCTTCTTCGGCGGGAGATTACGTTCCGCGGTCAGTCTCTCGTCCGCGGGTCGCCAACGTGACTGCCTCCCCTCTTGCTCCCTCTGGCATCCAGCTGAGTTGCTCTATTCGAATACTTGTTCTTACGGGTTGCCCAAGGACCAGTCCGCATTGAAGTGCAGTGTATCGCATCTCAGTGTTACTAATTAATACAGACGCTTTCCCTTGAGAAGGGCTTACACGGCAACAGCGTCATGGTAATTCACCGCACTGCACGTGAAGGGTTCAAGGGAATATTTTTGCTGATTAANACGGCAACAGCGTCATGGTAATTCACCGCACTGCACGTGAAGGGTTCAAGGGAATATTTTTGCTGATTAAGCAATTGGCAGCCTGTAGCTTCCCCCCCGTTCATGTATCAAAACATAACTCCTCTTAATTACTTAGAAATTAAGAGATAGCGCTTTCTGCTAGTGCTTGGTCACTCGGTGGCCTTGTGGTCGGACACAGATGGCGCGGCTGTAAGGTCTCTTCTCTCCGATATTCCTGGCGAAATAAGTGAAATTGTGGGCCTATTTTTGATGAAAAACGCTAAAAGTTAAATATCAAACATAAAATTGGGCTGAACCAGTAGCTGCTCGTTTCCCATAGCGGCCTTGGTCCACCGTCGGGGTCGTGTTCTTCTGGAGGGACACCGTCAGGGTGCTGTGCTGTGAAGCTTTCTCGTCCGGGGAGTTAACGAAGCAGAAATCAGCAATTCCAGATGATGATTATGTTTTAACTTTTTTAAAGAGCCTGTTACGGTTTGTGTCTTGATCAATATGGGAAAGTTTCTACTTGTTTTTGTCTTCATGGCCGCGCTCTGCGTTGCACGTAGCGCAGTAGCGGAAACAATTCCTTCGGCTGAGACGGCAAGTACGTATTTTTACACCTGATAACAGTTTTCCAAAGGTTTAAGTGATATGAGAGTAGAGTTATTTTGGTTACTACTGTGGCTTTGTGGGCTCGCAGCGCCCGTCCAGTGCCTTGGTGTGTTCAACGAGGCGAGAGTTCGTGCGGGCTTCGATCCCTTCACTACAGAGGAAGGAGAGCAGCAGAAATTGCCCATTGACGATCCAGAATACATAAAAGCAGTTTGTAAGGCGATGAAGGAGGTAAGAAAACGTTCTTTTCGTGTATGCCCAGCTCTTTCCCCTACTTATTTCCCTGTTTCCTGAGGCCGTAGCGAGCCTAGCGACGGTATGTCGGACCTTTGCCATTATGTTTTCTTCGGGCTCTCAGGATGGATCTGTCAAAAGCTCGCACATTAGTTACAAAAGAGAAGGCACGTACGCTTTCGCATCGCAAACTGGTGAGACCGGTGACTGTTCTGCTGCTCTTTCCCATTGGAGCAAAGCCCTAACGTACTTTGGCGAACTTCCCCCCGTGTACACCGGCGACAACGCCGGATCGTATGCAAGTACTCGCAACAGATCTTTTGTGGCCCTCTTCAATCCCATGAAAAGCGCCACCATCGACTGCGCCTACTTTATCTGTCCCACCGCAAGCACCACCATCAAGACGACGCTCACTGCAGACAACTCAGGCACACCAACATCTAATCAAGGAAACGGTGACAAAGAAGGCAAAACAGTCTCCCTGCAATATGCAGAGGACCTTGCGGGGAGGACAGCACCGTTGTCTCCAAACAGTGAAGAAACGGAGCAACTGGAGAAGCAAGGGGGGCCACAAGGTTCCAAGACAGATCCAGAAGAAGGAATTGTCACTCGCCGCCTTGAAACAACTGCAAAGGACATCCGGGCACTTGTTTGCTTGACAAACCCACAAGCACTTGTTTCGGGAAGAAGGCCCTTCACGTTAGGCTCACCTTTTGTTTGTTTGTCTTTGCCTCTTCCTGAGCAATGAGCCGTTTAGTTGCTGTATCCATTCGCATTTCTTTGCTTTCTCTTGCATGTTCTTTCTTCTTCTTTACTCATCTTAGCATTTTCTTGAGCTTACACTTGTGGTTGTTGGATCTCGTGGCTTTGTTGCCTTGTTTCTGTTTCCTCTTGAGAGCTTGCTTCTCTTCCTGCAACGTTCTCCTCAAGTCTGCTTGTGCCCAACCACTTCATTTTCCCTTGTCCCCCCACGTTGTGATGTAATTTCCATTTCTTCCCCGGCCCGCCTTCGCCTGCTTGCCTTCGAATTCCCTGGTGCTTTTAGTGTTCTCTTGTTTATTGGTTTACTGTTGCTCTCNTTCGCCTGCTTGCCTTCGAATTCCCTGGTGCTTTTAGTGTTCTCTTGTTTATTGGTTTACTGTTGCTCTCTCGCTTTAGCGTAGCATTCCCGTTACTGCGTTCGCACTCTTACCTACGTTTGCTAACATTGAAGTGAGCTTAGGGATATCTCTCTAGTATTAAAGTTTTGCCATTCTTTCTGGAATGCCTTGGTTTCCTTTGCTTGCTTCATTTAAAGGTTTCGGTGTATGGGTTGTAGCTTACGGCGTCGTTCTCTCATCTTGAGAGATCTCCGTCATTTTTGCCATTATATTCGGTGTGATGACCTGCACAGCTGTCTTCATCTTTGGCTTACTCACTTCAACTTTGGTTCCTTGGCTTATCTGTTTTTGACCAATAAGCTTGTTTATTTGGTAGAGGTGTTCACGATTTCACTTGCTTCCCATGGGTGCCGCTAGATGCCTCTTTTATGCCGCTGTTGAAAAATTTGTTTTCCTTTAGATGTATACCATTTTCCCCTATTTCATCCGCCCGTTCGTGTTCAGTGAGCCAATTGACTAGCGTTTCCATGTGCCATTTGCGTGGCTTTGCTGCATTTATCATTTAGGCTGGCAGTTTGTCTGCTGGCGCCTGCTGGTAATTTGTGGAGTGTTTGTTGTTTCTGGGTGGTTGTGAACAGTGATTGCGAATGGAAGCGTATAAAGGNGGTAATTTGTGGAGTGTTTGTTGTTTCTGGGTGGTTGTGAACAGTGATTGCGAATGGAAGCGTATAAAGGAATCCTACGAAAATGTCGGCTCTACCTCGCGGCCATCCGCCCTTCTTTCGTCCTTATTTGTTTTTATTGCGTATTTAATCATCCTGTAGGCGGTGCCAGGAAAAGATACGCACTCTGAGGTGTGAGTCAGACTTCGCACATTTGTTCGTGCGCCATTTTCCGCAAGTTGTGGCTGCCCCAGCACTCTGCGCTGCAGGGCGTCATCGTCTAAGCAGGCTCAAGCGGTCTGCTACGATTGCCGTAGCTTCGTCGTTGCGTACAACACGAAGGGCCGCTGGCGCTTTCTACCCCGAATGTACCGGGGGAAGGACAATCCGGCGGTACAGGTCGGTTAAAGGCGGCAAGGGGAGTGGAAGTACATCCCAAACACGCATGCTGTCGCGTAGCGACCATCATTTGCCCGCCCCTCTTGAGCGCCCCTTTTTTCTATATGCGAAAGCGTTTTCAGTGCAAGTGCTCAAGCGCTTGAACCATTTTGTCTGCATAGCAGAATCGCCTGGAGATGCAACTGGGGCAGATAGGTGACACTACTTGCCCCAGACATGCGGCCCTTGTACGCCGCAAGCACGGTTCATGCCGCTCGCCATTTGTTTCTTTCGCGGCTAACAAACCTCGCTTCCTCTTGTCATAGATAAAATGTGCGGCAAAATAGCAATTTCCCGTTGCATCGTGTGCTCAGTCGACTGGCGTGATTTGCAANAGATAAAATGTGCGGCAAAATAGCAATTTCCCGTTGCATCGTGTGCTCAGTCGACTGGCGTGATTTGCAAAGAGCAAACAACAAAACCTCCAGCACGGCCCAGTCACTTTGGTTTACAGTAGAATCCTTGCTGCGCTTCATGGAAATCGAATCTGCGACGTCCACGCCTAAGGTGGTGCATCACGCTGAGACAGGTGCCGCCTGAGCGTGGGCCTATGCTCAAGTGGTGCGCGTAGAGTTGTGGTTTTGCAGGAAGTCCCAAGTGGCTCTGTATGCCTTGCAGTATGGCCACCTAGGTCTATAAGAGGTTTCTAAATATATAATTTGCTCAATAAATTATTCACAGAAAAGCTGACAAGCTCTAGCGGGGCCATAGATGCTCTTGAGATATCCCTCAAGTGATCCTCCCTGTGCTCCTGTTTGATTCTTTATCCTACCTTTGACCCCTGTCGTACCCAGCTAAAGGGCAAAGTTATACAACTGAAGACCTGCGCTTGAAACGGTTCAGCGGTTTGAAGACAGGACCGGCACGGCCGAAAAAGCGATGCGGCGGCTGCAAGCCAGAATTCCGATCGCCGAGAGACACACTGTTTCCTTTTGTCTCTCTGTGCAAAGCCCCAGTTAGGGGCCAAAAGAAACATTCTTTCTGCTTGTTTTGCAATCACTGAGGAAACTTGAGTTTCACCGGCATACCCCTACCAGCTGAGGTTTACAAAGACCTCAAGGGGTTTGCTCATCTTGACGATGCCTAGAGAATGATGGAAGAAGTGAACAGAATCAAACCGGTAGCGAGGAGAGCAGACTGCGTAGAGGCAGAGGCGGAGTTTTCTATGGCTTCCTGTATGTCTTCCCAAACCTCCTCGCTGTGAAGAAGCCAAAAAATAGCAAACACGGCAGATAAGCCTTAAGTCAGCCAAGACCATACACCTCAGCAACAAAGCCAAATATGGGAACCCTATGCTGCCAACAGGAAATATTAGCCCCACAAGCAACCAAGACAAAGAAATCCACAGAAAACGTTTGCACATGGGTCAAATAACTTAGATACAGCTTAATACGATAGACAACCAATACTGACTGAGACGCAAGAGGGCAACGTTCAACTAAATAGAACTTTAAAGGGACAGAGGCACTGGCGGAAGGCGTAGGGATAGGAAGCAACAACCGAAACGCAGCATCCCAGCGCTTCTGGATCCACAGCACTCAAGTAAGATGTGAGACGCATCTGAAGAAGCATCCACAATACAATTCGGAAGAGGCCGAAGCGACCGAGGTAGGTACAAACAGCAAGGAGAGCCCTTGACAAAAGGCGCGCTCTATGGAAAGCAAACAGCACGGGACTTGGAGGTGCAGCCAAGAGAGAAGCAAAACGATATATCCTCAGCAACTTACGAGAATGGCTTTTTCCCGTTTTCAAGCGCTGCAGGATTAGTGAGGCAAACGAGGCCGGTGACCGTCTCCGAGGGTGTGGAGAGGCGCCGAACTGTCGGCCCGGTCTTTGGCTGGTCTCCCGAGCCCGCTGAACCCGCAGCTTCTCGTTCGTCACTTGAGTGCACAGTGCCGCTTTGGGGCGCGCCATCATCTTCTTCCTCATCCTCATCAGTTGGTCCTGCAGATGTAGCAACGGTAGTGGTGGACGTGGGGGAGACAGGACATGTGATATAGGCGCAGTCGACTGTGGCGCCCTTGTTGGGGTTGTATAGGGCCACAAGCGAGCGGTTTCGGCTATCCTCATACACCCCTGTGTTGCCTTCGTACTCGGGTGGAAGGTCCCCAAGGTTTACGTAGGCTTTTTTCCAATAGGAGACTGCTGCAGGGCAGTCAGCGGTAGAACCCGTCTGAGGCGCGTAGGCGTAGGTGCCGCTGCGCTCTATGATTGTCTTTTCACTACCAATATCTGTCCCCTGAACACGTCAAGCGGCAACTAAATATGCTAACACTCAACCGATCACCACTGGCAAAGACGAATGCGCGCGTGGAGAAGGCAGAGGGACAGTGCACGGCAAATACAAGAAGAAAAGAGGTCACTTGCCTGCAGCATGGCGTTGCAAACCGCTGTGATGTACGCTGCATTGCCTATCGGCACTTTCTTGTCTTCGTCAGGCTCTGCAATGAATGGATCAAGATCTGCTCGTTCTCTGGCGGTGTTGAACTCGGTCAGGCAGTCGGCGGTCACTGCCCACAACCAAAACCACC